CCACTCGGCTGTTTGAAGTACTGCATGTTTATGCACAAGGGTTTAGTTGGTGTGCGAGTTGCGTCGGTTCAGCCTCAGTTGTCCGCCATTAGATTATCAGCATAACGAGCCTGACGCCTCGTCGTGACGACTGTCGCGCCTGTCCTGTCATCACGGGGTAAACACAGCAGGCCGACGACGGGCAGGCACATAGGCAGAAGGACAGACGGGGAGAGTGCGGAAAACCAACAAAAAATAAAACAAAATTACCGCAATCACTGCGGTCGCTCTTATCGGTGTAATTAGCGCGCAAAGTGTCGTCCGCGGGGGCCCCCTCCCGTCGGCCTGGCAGCGAGGACGAGCACGCGTTTCGCACGTGTCCTCGGCGGGGGGTGCCCACGTGCTGATGGAGGGGAAGCAGCGGGGTCCTCCCGTCCCCTGCGCCTCCTCCTCCTCCTTGATCCGGGGCCGACCTCCGTCAAGCCTGCGTCCCGGTAATTGCCTCGGGGAATGTGGCGCCTTGCTCCCGCCCGCACCCTGTGGCCCGGGCCGGGCCGGGGCCCGACCGAACGCCATCAGCGCCAATTATCATCACGTCATCGAACGACGACAACGTCGTGGCACCAGAGCGAGCGCGCGCGCGCGCGTTTTCGTTTGACTAAGCGCTACAAATAGGGAAGTGGCGCGGCGGGGCACCACCAGCTCAGCGGCCACGCCCTCCGCCCCGAGCCCAACCGAGTCAATTGTATTAGTCGCCGTGGCTTTTTCACCTTGGGCCACCGGAAGAAATACGCGGCGCGCACGCATAGAAGTTTGTAGCGGAGGCCGACCCGACCGGGCGCCGCATTGACGCACCCCTCCCCCATCCCGCTCTAACTTTATGATTAGCAGGCTGATGCTCCGCCCGCGCGTCTCTTTTCAGATTTTCGGCGCGGGAAACAAGTTATTGCTTCCTCAGTAGAGCATCAAGGCGTCGGTCGCCCCCCGCCGCCACCCCCGTTCTCTTTCACTCCCCGCTGACAGAGAGAGAGAGAGAGAGAGAGAGAGAGAATAATGCCGCGGAAGAGTTTGAATGAGCCCGCTGCCCTGTGTGCTCTTTTGTCGATTAATTTAAGCCCGTCCCAAACACTAATAAAGGTTTTGTTTCCAGCTCGAGGAGATTCTCTCGTGGTCCTATTGTTTTGTCTTGCTGCTTTAGAACAACAGTTGCTTAATAGAGAGTGAGAGTAAATGAGACCGACGGCTGACCGACTGCCCGGAGCTGTAGGTTTCAACACACCTTCACGACAGACGTAACAGTCCGTTGTTGTTCTCTGGGAGTCATTTACAAAACATTGCAAGGTGGCGCAGAGTTATTTTTGTAAAGCTGGGAGGCTTTCTTCCCCGCCTCATACACCGTGACTGTGTAACACGGAGCCCCAGTGTGACACTCTATACCACCGCGCCAGATTCAATCAAGGCTCCACTGATGGAGGCCCCCTCGGGTCCCGCCCCGTCTCTCCCGCTCTCCTCTCCCTCCCTCCCTCCTCTCCCACCACGACACCGCACCCAGTCTAATTTGCGCACAGGAGCCCCACCACCGCATCCTCTGTCTTTGTTTTTCTTGCCCCCGCGCCACGACGGCGGCGGCGGCAAATGAGGAAAAAGTGACCGGTTTTAACTTTCAGCGCGCGTCGCGTCTTCGCGGCTCTCCTCCCCCATCGGCAGCGGGCGGCCGTCGCGGGGGGTGCGCGGCGCCGGGGCTTCTCCGGGGCGGAGCGGGGGCGG